TGTATGACATACTGGAAAGACTGACACTTTTTTGGGAGAGAGACTCAACATTTTTATCATTGTTTTGTATACAATTTTAATATTTTGTCAAAATTTAGTTATTTAATTTGCAAAAAATCTTTACATTGTACAGCCTACAGGAAATATGGTATTGGTTTTAAATTTTATGAAGCTGAGCAATTAGGTACAATTGTAATAGAAGTCAATTGATCTATAAAATGAATTAAGTTTTATCCTGCATGCAGAAGCTACCTGTACATACTGTTTCATACTTGCTTTTTTAAATTGCTTTCACGAAGCAGATATTTAACCTTGATGAGTGCTGCATCTCATAGACTAGTAGAAAAGATTCGAATTGTGTGTTTGAGTCGGAACCTCTTCTGGAACTCCTCTGAAAATTCAGCTTAAAATTTCAATGGAAACACGGACACATCCAATTGTATGGCACTTTTATCAGGGGTTTTTAATAGAAATAATATTGTACTTAGTGAGCACATGCACCTATATGCACATAGGAAAAATGTGGAAATTGTACTGTAATGAAACTGAATTCTCTAAAGCTCAGTTGAAAACTAGGTGAAACTTCCAGTGGAAATGCACTTCACTTGCCATTTCCCATTTAAAATGAACAGCAGTACAAAAGGCACATAAGCCTAAATACTGATAACTTGTCCACATAATCTGAAATGAACTCTTGAATCACAATAGTTCACCTAAGGACAAATCTCAAGGTGCACATTGATAATTAAAGTAGATTCTCAATTTAAGCTGCCTGCAGGTACTATAACAGTACTGCCCCTTCAAGTTGTTCTCAGAAAGTACATATAAATTACTTTTGATTCCTTCATCTAACATTTTGATAGGAATAATTTTAACAGTTTGGCATAATTTTAGTGAGAAAGGAGGGTCAGGACACTGAGATATGGAATCAACAGTTTATTAATGGCACTAATGCTCAGAGGGATTATTTCTAAAGCCTAAGCCCTGAGCATACCACAGCTTTTACTTCTATATATAAGTTACTCCTCAGAAAGAGAAGGGATAGAAAAAAATTCAATAGAAATGAAAGTTGAAAACTTACTGAATTTGATATAAAACAGAGTCACCTTGTTTCTATGCTTCCCCTTTGCAAAAGTGGGTGTGGGGTAGATGGGTAAATTGGTGTGTGTGTGTGTGTGTGTGTGTGTGTGTGTGTGTGTGTGTGTGGTGATGGGCAAAGGTGTGCCACATGCAGTTGAGGGGAGAAATAAAGAATTTAAATGCACTGATGCTATTTTCAATGCTTTATTCATTCAAATCATTCAATTCAATTTCACTCTATAGGATATTTTTTCTTTCAGTATTTAATTTTAGTTGTGCTTGGACACAATACCTTCATTGTATTTTACTTTTATGTGATGCTAAGGATTCCACCGAGTGCCTCAAACATGCTAGATGATCCCTCTACTACTGAGCCATAAAACTTGCCCTTCTATAGGTTCTTAATCAAGAAAATAACAATCTTTAATTCTGGGCACTATAATAGACATAATCAATTCCAAGTCAATTCTAAGCACTGCAATCATATTTAATCATGACAGACTTATTGCAGACATTCCCTCTGCTTGATAAGCTCCAGTGTCAGATCCAGAGTCTCAAGTCTTGGGTTTTAATTCCAGCAGATTCATACTCACTCAGACTCCAGTGATCAGGTCAGGAATCTGTGGAGGCTTCATAATGGGTGGAACAGATGATTGGTTGAGGAGATGGTCATAAGAAGAAATAGCTGTTCTCATCAGGGTCAAGATGTGGCTGTAGAGTTAGAGAATGGTGAGGATGATACAGAAGATTAGGTAGATAATGAAAAGAGTTGGGATGTCAGTCCACATGTCCTCATCAGGCTCTCCAGCATAGGGGCACCAGTGTGGGTTGGTTGAATGTCTCTTATTTGCTACATCATTTATACTAAATTTGGGGGTTTCTGCTTGCCCTTTCAATCCGTATCACACATGACTGGGTTTCTTAATGACGTCTTTAATTCTTGGGTCAGGACATCTGGTCTGGTGGTTTCTGCCCTGATCTCTCACCTGTGATTCTTATCAGGGCAAAGTAAAATGACAGTGACTTCACTGCGAGTTTTATCAGGTTGTGGAAAGTGACTTATTTTAGAACACCATGCTTGATAACAATATAAGAAGGCTCTAAAAACTTGTCTGGTAGGGACTCCAGTTGTATTTTAACATAGTTTTAAAATGGAGTTGTTTAGGCTAAGACCATCCTCACAATGTGTGTGTAGACGTGTTCCCAAAATTTCTCTTCAAGTTTAACTTACACTGATTATACAAACAAAAATCCTAGAAGCATACAAAAATGTTCCTTGAGGGTTTATTTCAATTTTTATACTTAGTTTTGAAAGGTTGTAATAATAATGTATCAATTGGGGTTTTTTGTCTAAACCCTTTAGATGAAGATAGTAAAATAAAATTTGAAAGTTTAAATCTTCTGAAATGGAAATGAGGACAACTACCCCATTCACAATATCCCCCCAAAAATAAAATATTTGGGAATCAACCTAACAAAAGAGGTGAAAGATTTATATAATGAAAACTACAGAACCCTAAAGAGATAAATAGAAGAAGATCTTAGAAGATGGAAAAATATACCCTGTTCATGGATAGGCAGAACTATCATCACCAAAATGGCAATATTACCAAAAGTTTTCTATAGTTTTAATGCAATGCCAATCAAAATCCCAATGGCATTTCTTGTAGAAATAGATAAAGCAATCAGGAAATTCATATGGAAAAACAAAAGACCCAGAATAGCAAAAGCAATACTAAGCAAAAAGAGTGAATCAGGCAGTATAGCATTACCAGATTTCAAACTATACTACAGAGCAATAGTAACAAAAACAGCATGGTACTGGTACCAAAACAGGCAGGTGGACCAATGGTACAGAATGGAGGACA